CATGACGTAAGTAACCTATTTTTTATGTACACTTAATTAATTAATTAATAAGCACAGGATATGCCTGGCAGACATGGCGGTTTTGTTTTTCCTCTTTCAAACCTACTTATTAATAATATTTTTGTTGAATTCCGCGATGACGTAGGGTTCAGTGTCGCTGGCTCTTGTACTAGATGGGCATTCAAGCCACTATAGCATCAGAATAATTGAGGAGGCTATTACAGAATAAAATTGAACTTGTACGCTTTCCGGCCCATTTAACTGATAAGATACAACCACTTGATCAATGCGTATTTGAACCCATTACAGTAAAATGGGACAAGAAATTAGTGCAGTATGGTAAGAGCCAGATTGGAGTAGGAACTGGTCCGCAGTTTGGAATGTTTATTAGGACAAGTATTACAGGAATCACTTTCTTCTAAAAATATTATTAGTGGCTTCTTATCAACAGGAACGTATCCTATAGATTCATCACAATTTTCGGAGGAGTTATTTGATCCAATAGATTTACAGAGGTATAAAAATAAAAAAAGTATAGCGGTTTCCACTTCCGATAATCTGCCATCCACTTCGGCAAACACACCTTCCACTTCTAAATGCATAATGACCACCGCTACCAATATCCCACCCACTTCAACGGGAAGACTACAAGATATCCGTGCTAGTCCTCAAACGATTACGCACAGGACACCCAAGAAAGCAATTGTTGCTTCAACAGTTGAAGAATCTTTAAGTCCAGAAGTTGAAAATGCAGTATTGAATTGATGTACAAGAATCGTTCCATCACCTGTTAAACCTTTGGATAATCCCCGAACAGTAGTAGAAATGTTTTCTTCTGTCTTAGGAAAAATGAGAGAAGATCCAAAGAACTCACAAAGTAGTCATACAGTAGTTCGAAGACTAAAACAGTTCAGCTACGGAGAAGTGTTATCTACAGAGCAAGTGATGACAAGATTGAAAGAAGCGGAAGAGAGGAAATCAATTAAGAAAGCCACTGTTAGAAAAGAAAAACGAACGATTGTAGGACATATATATATATGTTCAAGTTCAAACGTTCTCTCTCTCTCTCTCTCTCTATATATATATATATATATATATGTATATATATATATATACATACATATATAACGTTTGAACTTGATCAGGCTGTACAGACTTGGCATGTGAAGACCGGCCATTATGCGAACAATGTGGTATTATAACACCACCACATCACATTATTTCTATCTGTCCGCAGTATATGGATGTACCTGTGCTCTTTAATATAAACCCGATATGGGAAAATAACTTTAAAAATGAAGAGCAATGCAAAAATACTCTCGCGTTCATCCAACGAATTGGTATTGCAAACGATCTGTGATATTTTTAAATTTTTGTTTTTACGTATATTTGTGTAGTAAATGAGTAAATGTAATCACGCCTGTCTTGTTTTGTGTGTACAGAAACTGTGATATTGTAGTACGGTAGAGGCTAATGGCCATAGATGCCGAAGCCTCAGGTGGGGTTTTAGTGGGTATACCCTGATAATGGGAGAAGTCCCACACTACTCCGGACTTCTATCCGGAGTGTGCGTAATGCATTTCCCTACCTGTCCAAAAAATAATAGCGGAAAAGTTACTAACAACACTTCTGTGTAATCCAACAAAGGAGAGACTTCTGTGCAAAGTAATGATAGGATTTCTGTACAGTCTGGCAATAGTGATGCTTCAGTACAGTCCTGTAAGGCTAAATCAAAAGGAGTAGCAGCCGAATTAAGAGAGATGCGTGCTACACAAGTACTCTGTCATACTGAAAAACTAGAGGCATACAAGCAACGTACAGAAGAAATTAAACGGAAGAACAATTTATTGCAAAAATTAATCGATACCTTACAAAAATAAATGTACAATACTTATATTATAATACACATTTTATTTTATATTTTTAGAAATGTTGGTACATATTTCATCCCGTAGAAATTTTCCTTTTTCCTATTGCCCTTGATAATTAGGTTGTACATTTTCTTCTGTTATTATATTTTGGAGACATTCTAGATCATTTTGGTCTGCTAAATTGCCTGTATGGATACAAGCATTACGAAATGAAGCAAACACCTGTCACAAGGAAAAAATCAGTTTATTGAACGAATTAATCGATTTACTTAAAAAAGAATAGAATCACTACCTACATAATGTTTTAATACCTTTTTAAACCTTACAATACAAAATTACTGTACAACTGAAATCATTGTTTATAAAATATTACACGTTCATTAATAAATCTGCAATATAATCTCGTTTGTCCACATTTTTAAAGTCTTGTTCACTATTATTATTACAAAAATTGTCATCATCATTTTCAAAGGTGTCTATATCCATTCCATCACTGTTGTTCATGCATATGTTATGTAACACACAACATGCCAATATTAAATCAGGAATGAATTTAGTGTTATAGATATTTACTTGTTTTAAAATACGAAACCTTCTCTTTAACAAACCAAAGGTTTGTTCTACATACACTCTTGTACTTGAATGCTTAAAGTTATATTTTTTTTTGTTTTCTGGACAAATGCCCATTATCAAGATATGGTGTTAATAAGTGATACTGCATTTATATGCAGAATCTCCCAATATATGTGAATCGTCGGAAAATAATTCACCAGGGTTTTCTCTCATTTTTCTTCCCAATGGCGAGTTGTAAAACACTTTCGCATCATGTACACTGCCAGGGAAACCTATAATTGCCTCTGTATGTAGGTATTGGTAATACTCGTTAAGTAATCTTACCTGCAAAAACATCAAGGAATATGTAACTGGCATCACATACTGCTTGTAGTATTATGCTGTGTTGTCCCTTTCGATTGCAATAGGATGCCTGTTCATTTCTTGGGGGTGTAGTTAAAATGTGGCATCCATCTATTGTACCAATAACGCCTGGCATATTTTGTCGTTCCTTAAATTTTTCAGCAATATGCTTTGCTTTGGCACCAGTAGGCCACGAAATATAATTAGGGGGCATTTCTTTTAAAATTTGAGTAACTTTCCCCACATACAGCCAAGCAGTTGACTTCGATACATCAAATTTTTCAGACAAAAGTCTATAAATAAACGAGCTTTATATTTACTATCGCAAGTGACTACCAGACTTTACTAACCTATAGACTGTTTGGTTTGATAACATTGTTAGGGTCACTAAGACTTGCAAATCAGGAGAATGGCAATGACACCCTATATCCTGACAATTTTTCTCTTTTAGGGAGGGCCCCAAAACTTGAACTAAATTCTTAAAGGTTTTTCGACTGATTCTAAAATGGCTTTTGAAATCTATAACTCAGATATTAATTTAAATAACATTTAAAAAGGCATTGGTAACAAATACATCAAAACTATAATAGCGAATTCCATTGGTACAAAATGATTTGCACGAGGTTGGCACTACCACTAGCACGACCCTAACTCTCTCAAATACTAATATTTGACAGAATTTGTGGACTCCCAATGGAATACGAAGTTTTCGCGGGCTTGTTTATTATATATATTTGTAGGTTATGTAGGGTTCATCTCTCTAAGTGAGGAATTGAAAAGTATTTATAAGGTATATGAAGACGGAAGGTAACAATTTTTCTGTAATAATAAGCATAGTTACTAATATAGCTTTGCTTTTTCTAGCGAACGCCTTATACATGGTCAAGATAAACAAAACTTGGAGTCTATTGCAGCAACTATATCAACTCCATCTCAGGGTAAACACATTAGCGGTACGTGTAAAATCGTTTAAGCTACGGTCCATCTATTTCGTTTAGTAGTAGCGTTTAGACGACGCGATAAAGCGTGTCGACTAATCGACAAGGTCCGGTTTATTTTGAGCGTTTTGAAAACGATTCAGTAGTGAGATTCTTTCAAAATGAATGTGTTAAATGTTGTTATCGATGCATTGTATGATGAGGAAGAAGAAGAAGACCTGCTTAATGAGTCTATGTAGGAAAAAGGAAAAGACAAAAAACATGTTCTTGAGCCGAGAAACTGAAGGATGTTTCCAACTTTTGATAACTCGCCATTTGATGGATGACGACACAAAATTTCAAGAATACTTCAGATTAACAAAACATGAATTTTTTGGAGTACATGACATTGTATCTGAGAATCTACGCACTGTACCTTCGTCATTCGTTCGCCGTCCGATTTCAAGTTGCGAGAAGCTGGCCCTAACATTGAGGTAAAGCGTTTGGAATGTAGATGGCTTTTGAGACTATACTCCTTTTTAGCGCATTTCCACAAAAATAAAAAAAAATGCGCTATTGTGGCCACTTTGTCCGTCCGTCCGCTAACTTTGCGACGCTACTAGTTTTTTATCTTAAGAGCTATTGTTCTACTTTTTTCGCTATTTGGTTCGTTATGGTGTCGAGTCTTGTACCAAGGAAGGATTTTTTCTGTACCGCTTACAAAAAAGTTTGGTCTCTCCGTCTGTTCTTTATGTCTGTCTTGTCCATCTATCTGTCCGGTATGTGAACGATAACTTTGTTTAGAAAATGTTCGATCGCTTTTCATCTCCTGTAAGTTAGAACTGAATTGCATGAAATTCAATATGGGGCATAGCTTTAACCAACAGTAAACTTCGGCTATAACGCACCCGGTTATAACGAACCCTCGGTTATAGCGAACCAAATTGAAAGTCCCGCCAATAGTTCCATAAGGACAATGTTAAAAATTACCGTTTATAACGATCCCGGTTATTAGGTACAATCGGTTATAACGAACTGAAAAATAGACGCTTAGGCGTATTTTATATACAAAATCCACCGGTTTTAACGAACGCGCGCGTTGGAACAAAATTATTGTACTACATATATCCATTGTAAACAGTCGTACGAGTGCCCTTAGGATATTACACGTTTTCACGAAAATGAGTCAACATCCGCCCCGGCAAGATTTGTTTGCGCCGAAGTTATTTATGGCTTTTAGCAATTAGTCACTCTCCCGCAGTTGCAGATGCAGTTTTGCTTCCGCGATACGTGTACAATGGGTGACAAACAAAAACGGCAATCGTTTACGTTGCAAGTTAAATGTGACATTATTCGTGAGTTGATAGGTGGGAAAAAACAAGTTGATGTGTGCCGCGAAAAAAGCTTGAGCAAATCTACTGTTGCAACAATTTGGAAGAACCGGGATGAACTGTTAAAAGCATTTGAAAGCATAAACGTTAAAGTGAAGAAAATGAGAAAATCTGTACATGATGAGGTGGATAGAGCTCTGTTAATATGGTTTTCGCAACAGAGACGGAATAATGTTACAATAAGTGGTGCAATTCTCCGAACAAAAGCGGAAGAATTTGGCAAAAAAGTTCAAGACAACTTCGTGTGCAGTGAAGGCTGGGTTGAAAGATGGAAAGCGCGACATAACATATGCAGCGGTAAAATTCTCGGTGAAGCATCAGATGTTAATACAGAAGTGGTGGATAACTGGATTTCAACTGTCTGGCCAACAATTAAAGAAGAGTACAGCGAAAATGATGTTTTTAATGCGGATGAAACAGGTCTCTTTTTTAAACTTACTCCGGACAAAACCTTAAAATTCCGAGGAGAAAAATGTGTTGGCGGTAAATTGTCGAAGGAGAGGATTACTGTGTTGGTTTGCGCCAATATGTCAGGGACAGAAAAAAGAAAACTTTTGGTTATTGGCAAGTCCCAAAACCCCCGATGTTTTAAAAATGTTAGAAGTCTTCCAGTGGATTATCGCGCAAATTCTAAAGCTTGGATGACATCAGAGTTATTCATTGAGCACGTGCGAAAATGGGACGAAGAACTGAAAAGAAAAAAACGCAAAATTGTGTTATTAATTGACAATTGCCCAGCACATCCCAAAATTCAACAATTGCAGTTTATCAAGCTAGTCTTCATGCCTCCAAACACAAGCTCTATACTTCAGCCAATGGACCAGGGGATCATACGAACCCTCAAAACCTATTATCGTCATTCGCTGCTAATTAGGCAAGTGCAAAACATAGATTCGGGAAAGGCTGTAACCGTTTCTGTATTGGATGCCATAAATCTAATCCACAAATCTTGGCAGAAGATATCAAGGCAAACAATAAAAAACTGTTATAAGCACGCAGGATTTTATTCTCCCAGTACGGATGAAGAATATGACTCTGATGACGATTTACCACTGCACACCTGGCTTATAAATCAACAAAGGACGACAACGCCTGGTACTTCTACCTCTGGAAACCATGGAGTGGCCATCGAGGATAATGTTGTGGATGAATTTGTTACTGTGGATGACTGTGTCATAACTTCCGAATTTTTGACGGATGATGAAATAATGTCTGCGGTAATAGAAGAATATGAGGATAACAACTCAGACACCGAAGACGAGGATAGTACGGAGGATGCAACAGTTACGAATGCAAGCGCAGTTCAATGTCTACGTGAGATTCGAAAATTTTTACAATCGCGCGGTGCATCACAAAATTTGTTTAACAATTTAGTTGAGTTGGAAACATTCGTAGATAACATTTGTGCAAACAATGCAGAAGTTCAGAAAAGAATTACCGACTACTTTAACCTTACTACAACCTAATATGTAATTAGTACATAATTACATATGTACATAATTATGTACATAATTACATATGTATGTACATAGTCTATTAAAACTTAAATATGTACTATGTACATTTGTGGTTCAAAGTTTATTTTTTGTATCTTTTAAAAATGGAATTGCATTTATTTTACAATAAAAATTTAAAAATGTATCTTGTATACGTTTTTTTACATTTTTGTTTATAACGAACTTCGGTTATAACGAACAGATTTTCGCGGTCCCTTGAGGTTCGTTATAACCGAAGTTTACTGTATATGTTTCAAACTTGAAAAGAAATTTGTTGTCTGTAAAGAAATTAGAGATGTCAGGTATACAAGTAGTGTTTATGAATGGATTAGTAAAGTTTGTAAACAATAATAATGTTATAGGTATAGGGAAAAGAAATCATTTGTATGAGATAAGTTTTAAATTAGATAAACCAGAATGCCAGAACGTTGATAGTATTACAAATAATGAATTTCTGAAATGGCATAGAAGATTTGCTCATTTGAATTTTTCTAGCTTAAGAAAATTGATAAGGAACAAATTGGTGAAGGGTTTAGATAATGTTCAAATTTCAGAAATAGAATTTTGTGAACCGTGTGTCGCAGGAAAAATGTCTAAACAATCTTTTGGTACAAGAACTAGAAGTAAGAATATTTTGGAAATTGTTCATAGTGATATCTGTGGGCCAATAACACCCACGTCATATGATGGGAATAGGTATTTTATCACGTTCATTGACGATTTTTCCAATTTCACTGCAGTATATTTGTTAAAACAGAAAAGTGAAGTTTAGGGAATTTTATTTCATGACAAAAGCAATGTTTAAAACAACCGTGTCTAAATTAAGATGTGATAATGGAGGAGAGTATGTATCGAGGAATTTCAAAAATTTTTGTAGGGAAAATGGAGTTGTGTTAGATTATACTATACCTTACACACCACAACAGAATGGCAAGGCCGAGAGGAAAAATAGAACACTAGTTGAAAGGGCCAGAGCAATAATCGATGAATCGGGAGTATCAAAAGAATTTTGGAGTGAAGCTATTTTGTATTCAAATTATGTTATTAATCGAGGGCCAACTGATGTTTTGGATAATATTACTCCATCAGAAATTTGGTACGGTGAAAGACCAGACGTAGGTAATTTAAGAATATTTGGGAGTACGGTATATAACCATGTCAGGAAAGAAGTACGAGATAAATTTGATTCAAAGGTTGAAAAATGTATAATGTTAGGCTACGTAACGAACGGATATAGATTATGGAATGTAGAAAAAGGAAAGGTTGTTCTCTCAAGGGATACTAAATTTGATGAAGACACTTTCTATTATAAGGGAAATAAACCGACGGTGGAAATTAGGGAAATATGCAATGATAATAATGAATTAGGGGAAAATGATAATGAATATGAATTTGAAAATGATGATATAATTGAAAATGGGGAAAGAGATTTGAGAGAGGGCAAAAGGCAAACAAAACTACCATCTCGGTATAACGAATATGAAATGTACATGGCATATAATGCTTTAGCTTTTGTAAATAATGTACCGCAAAATTTTAATGATCTACAAAATAGGCCAGATAAAGAATTATGGGAAAAGGCTATGAAAAGAGAATTACACTCAATACATAAAAATTCTACATGGGAAGTGGTTAACAAACCTAGCAATTCACAAATATTAAACACAAAATGGGTATACAGTTTAAAAGATGGTGAAGGAAATAATGAAGGAAAATATAAAGCCAGGTTAGTTGTAAAAGGGTTTGCGCAAAAAGAAACATTTAATTATGAAGACGTATATTCTCCTGTAGCTAGAATGACAACAATTAGAGTGCTATTAAGTGTCGGAAATCAGCTTGGATATTACTTTAGACAGTTAGACGTTAAAACAGCTTTTCTTAATGCAAAATTAGACCACCCAGTTTACATTTATCCACCTGAAGGGTCAAATCTTAATAATGGAAAGGTGCTCAAGTTAAATAAACCTTTATATGGGTTACGACAATCTTCGAAATGTTGGAATGATAAAATAAACGATTGCATCATTAAAATAGGTTTTAAGAGATCTGAAAATGACTATTGTTTTTACATTATGGATTTAAAATTTGGAAAATTATTTTTATTGTTATATGTTGATGACATTTTAATTAAAAACCCAAGTAATAATCGTAGAGTTAAGCATATAGATATTAAGTATGAATTTGTATGTGAACTTTTGAAAAAGCAGCAAATTGAAGTTGTGTATATTGAGTCATCTAAACAAGAGGCAGATATTCTCACGAAAGGATTGCCACAAGCTACTTTTTCAAAATTAAAGCATTGTTTAGGACTTCGTGATAACTTTAGCGAGGTGGGGTGTTAAGATATACGCTAAAGTGTGAACATAGCCGCGCATTGCGTGGGATGGGCGAATGCGACCATAATGTATGTAGAGATATGTTTGTAAAAGTTACAACAGTTTTGTATTAAAAGTTAAGATGTTACGAGATATTTTAGTATAAATAAATACATAAAAAGCATCGTATTATTTAAGAATTAGTAAGACAAAAAGCCGATTCAAACGTCGAAATCAATATCAGTTTATAACAACTGGCATTAATTTTTTTCTAAAATACGGTTCACTGAGGAAAAAGTATTTATAATAAACAACGTTTACAGCGGAAATATTTACTCTAGTACGCAATATCTGTTTTCCTTGCATTTTAATGAGCGTCCCATTCCGCCTGTGTGAAAACCTATTTCAATTCTTCAGGAAATTTGTATGGCTTAACATGATTTTGCTAATTGAATTTATTGGCCAATTTTTGATAAAATAATGAGAAATACACCTGAAAATAAACTAATTCGTATATCGTTAGATGAGAAAAAAAATCTTCTTTTGATTGGTGTTATTATAAACCCCCTAAGTTCGCATGGGGAGCAACGATTTGCAAAAAACGTTTTTCTCATGTGAATTGCCTATGTTCGGTTTTAAAATATTGATGGCGTTTATTCTCCTTAGACAGGGCGAGTCTCTAATTTGGAATAAATGCAGTGCATAAAATATGTTTTTTTCAGAAGTATTCTCAGACAAGTCAATTGGCATTTTACACTGCGCCCTCTTGATCTAATCAAATGTTATAGAGGGTGTCCCAAATTTGAGATATGACGTCATGGACTAATTTTTGAAATGACAACTCTGGAGGAATCATGCAATATATAGTATATATAATATACTATTCTGAAAGAGATATTAAGTTACATACGTGTGCCAAATTTCAAATTTTTATTTCTTGTCATTTAGAATAGAACACATTTAACAAAGGTGGAAGGCTAAAACGTATTGGCTTGTCATTTTTTGTCGAACTGACGTATTAACCCAGTGGTAGGTAAGTTATAAAAACAGGTGAAAAGTATAGCATCGCATTTGACGCAATTGACCGAAGAGTGTAAGAGTCATTCCACTGTTGTGTTTACCGTTGTTCAAAGAAAAAAAATTTGAAATTCTGTGCCATGTAAAAAATAGTCGATGACGTTATAAGCTTTTTGTTTATCGTCGCCCAAACTGCAAAACCTCGTATCTGCATTTTTTCATGAAATTGAGATATTTTGTATACCGATGGATTACTTTGTTATGCATATGTGTGCAAAACCTTAGAAACGAACAGAAATTAACAATTTAAGAATATCCATGTGTAGTACCTCGTATATAAACTGTCAGGTAGGAGCGCATGCGTAACCTCGTATACGTTGAGGTTTACCATGTGAAGATATGCTGTGCCTTGCGCTGTCACATCATTTTGCAAAATTATAAGGAATTATTAACAAGTAAGTAGTACACATTTACTTATTAAGTAGTAGTAGGACTGTTTTATTCGATGAAATGTTGCTTTCCGCTGTGAAACTGGGTTTAAAGCAATAAAATGCTTACAAAGATAATGTATTCATATACGTGTTTTTGCACGCACAATTATTTTTGCTTTTATACGGTATACGCGGTTTTGTACCTACCCCAAATGAAACCTAACTGCACTGATTTATTTTATTCTATTTCAGTATGAGTATTTCTCGAGGTAAAGCCCTCGTTCAAATGATTTTGAACCAGGATGTGAGCAAAAATAGAGATCTTACAAATCCCGATAATTTAAGCATCAATCAATGTTCTAATGGCGAAAACAAAGAAAACCCCAGTATAGTATTTTTTGAAAGTGAAGAGTGTATCCCCAAAATAAATTGGAATTTAGCACAGCTAACACCTGCCCAAAACATTGTCATTGAGGAATGTAGCGTTGCCGCCTCAGCTTGGTCAGAAACAATAATAAATTCCAACACAAGCCCTCAAGATTTCTCCAATAGGGAGCCAAATGATATTTTTAATGGTAGCACTGAAAACTTGTCGACTGGTAGCGATGAAGGCAGTAATTTTGAACCTGGAAGCGATAATTTGGGATGTAGCGAGAGTGAAAGTAGCGACAACAATGACACTGGGGACGATTTAGCAGAAGATCAGCATGGAACGATCAACACTGACGACAGAGGTGGTAACGAAAATGCTTCCAGTAATACAGAAAAATCTGAAGACCAAGGCACCAGAGATATAGTACCACTAAAAAAACGCAAAATGTCTAGAGAGCAGAGGTTCCAAAATAAGCGGCTGAGAATGCTAGGACAGTGTTATAATGGCTTGCAAAAAGATCCCTCCGAAGGAAATTATAAGCTTACCAATATCGCCGCTCGTAAAATGGGCCCAACCTGCTCATCGAGGGTTTGTAAAAATTCAAAAGTATTTTTCTGTCCATCTTTTCATGAAAACGATAGAAAACTTTTGTTTGACAGTTTCTGGAAGACTTTAACATGGGATATGAAGCGCACGTACTTAAGCTCTTTAGTGGATTACGTTCCCAGCAAACGTATGAAAGAAAATTCAAGAAGGAAGGGTACATTAATATATTACTTAAAGAAAGGTACTCAGAAGCTTAGAGTTTGTAAAAAGATGTTCCTTTCTACATTAAACGTTAACGAATGGATTGTCAGAGAGTACAGTAAGAAATTACATGGCATTACAGAGGCAGAGGAGAATGTTCTCCATCCTAGACGGAATCGCCACTCTAATGATCAAAGAAGAATCACAATGCAGACATTCCTAGAAGAGCTCCCTAAAATGCCCTCTCACTATTGTCGTTCTTCTACGTCTAAACTGTATCTTGAACCTACGTTTCAGAGTAAAGCTGAACTATACCGAGAGTATCAACGCTACTGCGCTACAAAAAATGAAAATTCATGTTCGCAACAATTGTTTAATGAGGAAATTAAAAAACAAAAAATAGGAATCTTTAGACCTCGAAAAGATCAGTGCGATGTATGTATTTCACACAAGCTTGGTAATATTGATGAAGATACATACCAAAAACATCAAGCAAGTAAAATTGCAGCTCGTAATTCCAAAGAAAACGATAAAGGACGATGTCAGACAGAGCCAAAGAAAATATTAGTGATAACCGCTGATGTTCAAGCGGTCAAATTGGCTCCAATGTTGAAGGCGAGTGCAATTTATTATAAGACTAAACTTTGTGTTCATAATTACACAATATATAATTTATTTAATTCCGAAGTAACTTGTCATTTATGGGATGAAACCCAAGGTGGCTTAGAAGCTAATATGTTTGCAACAATGTTATCCGATTATCTCCAAAATCATTTGCTAAATGAACCCGACACCAAGGAATTTATCATCTACTCTGATGGGTGCGGGTACCAGAACAAAAACGCTACTGTTGCTAATGCCTTACTAAAATTTGCAATAGATAATCATGTAACAGTGTACCAGAAATATTTTGAGAAAGGACATTCTCAGATGGAAGTGGACTCCGTCCACAGTACTATTGAAAGAAGGCTAAAAAACCGTGATATATATTTGCCAACTGACTATATTGCAGTTTGCAAAGAAGCGAGAAATAGAAATCCGTACAATGTTAAATACATGAAATACACAGATTTTCGGGATTACTCCAAGGTTAAATATTATAGCAGTATTCGGCCAGGTAGGAAACCTGGAGATCCGCAGGTGAACCAAGTTCACTGTTTTATGTATTCACCTGAGGGGATTATAAACTATAAATTACAATATAAGGATGAATGGCAAGTCCTCCCAACAAGATCACATCTTGACCAATATGAAGTCACGCAATTGTATGACACTAAGCAAAACATAAAACAAGATAAATTTAATCATTTGCAGCACTTAAAACAAGTATTGGATCAACAATTTTGGGAATACTATGACAATTTACCGCACGCGTAATAGTCATCAAAAACACGTAAGCGATGAATTTCGATGCAATTAGTGTTCAAATACTCGTATGTGAGTTATTATAATCAAATATCGAATTTTGTTAAATATTTCATTTTGTCAGTTTTCAGAATGTATTTTTATTTAAATAAAATTTAAAATTTACAAAAACATTGTTAAATCAACTCTATTATGCAGTTTTATGTCTCCCCTGTAAAATTTGCTAAATTGCACATACGAGGTTTTGCAGTTTAGGCGACGTTATATTTTGAATAAATACAAATTTCGTACCACTTTTATTAATTCAGCAACAAACATCAAGTAAGTAAAAATGTCATGTGTCAAAAAATACAACTAGTAAAAATGTAAATTCCACTACAACTAACTTCTCGCTAGACGCGCTAAAAGCCCGCGTTCATTTTTCAGTTGGTAATGAGAAATCTACCCGTGGTTGGAGGATTTGCTTTCTGCGTTGTCCACCACTAGATGGCGTCACTGGTGTCGTTGGCGTACATTCCTGTGGCGCGAATTTATGAACCGCCACAACGTCATATCTCAAATGTCATATATAAGTACATAAAAAAGCGCAATTTAAAATACTAATCGACGTGTCAGAGCATATTTCCGAAAAATAACCTTCTTTAATGTATCCGTAGTTCCTTTGCCTTAAAATAGGTACCTATGTGCTATTTGAGTTTTCAAGAGGTACCTAATCTTCATGGATTAGAATATAGTTGCATTTTAACGGCCAAAAATTGTAGGTTAATACCTCGGTTAATACATATAAATGCGCTGAATAACTTCTTTTCAGTTTCAGGTAAATCCATGATGGGTTCAAGACAGGATATTGATGGTATGATTGCTAATTTACAAATTTTTTTCCCAAGTTGGACGTATGACGATGTTATTGCTAATCTTAATGGATTAGAATTTTCAAAGTTCGTTAACACCTTATTTAAAACTAAAAAACTAAATCCCGTTCATTTCAAACGATTTAAAAAACAGTTTAATCGTGAAGTAAGATCCCCCGATTTCAAAGTTATGTTTAATGCACGTCATAAGGAACTTGAACATGAAACCCATGTAAATAATGTCCCCGGCGAAACTAATATTGTAGATATTAATGATAAAGCCAATAACGTGAAGGGTTTTTGAAATGTTTGAGTTAGAAGAATGTAGCTACTCCCTGGATCGTGTAAGTGAAAATGTCCAAAGTTTTGATATTAGTGGCACGGGTTTCAAATGTACGAGTTCTCCAATAGTTTTATCCCATCAGTACAGTGATGATCGTGAGGTTTGTTCTGTAGAAACTAGCATGTACGTTGACCAAAATCCAAATAACGTTCCCGAAAACAATATAGATGGTTTTGTTAGTCTCGAAAATCAAAACATGGTTCAAGAGATAAGTGACAAAGAAATTAAATATAAAGGAGGAAAAGTTAAAATTGCGTATATGAAATTGCAACTGTTGACATTAACGCAAATGTTTGGGATCTTATAAAAACCGAACAAATATCTCAATCAGGTTTAAAAACTTTACGATTTTATCTAAGGGAGCAATTTAAAAAATTTAATAATGTATGTATGTTATCGTTTAGGCCCATAAGCTTTCCACAAACGGTTTGACGTATCTTGGTTATTGTATACACAAAAACTGTAAAAAATTTAAATTTTTTTGTAATGCAATTGAAACCAGTAAACGTTACCGCACGCTGACTATGTACGAATTTTCGATTGATTTCTGCCTCCTAGTGAATAAAACCGCTCATGTTCCAGATTATTGTAGAGAAATTGTGCAAAACAAACTGATACATATGACACCCATGGAATATAAACGAAATACTTTAATACAGGTAAATGAAGGAATTGCAGAGTTAGGTAATCTTCAGAACGTAGTTAGCGATCCTACTATTCGTCAATTGAGAAGTGAAAGTTTAAGACATCGTAAAAGACACCATGACGAAGAAATTGACTTGTTGCTAATGTATAAAGATTAGAGATGCTGAAAAAGTAACTAATCGTTACTCGAGTACTCGTTACCCGCGGATACCCGAAGTAACGATTACACCTCCACCTAGCAAATGATTACTTTGATTACAATGACTACTTCAGAGTTGGTAAAGTTGCATAAGCAAATCAGTATTTGAGTATTCATTTTTCGTATTCACGACATAGTTGGATACTGATTACACAGTTATGGTCTTTTCAACATTATTATAAAGCGATGCATAAGCATATTGCTACTAAAATACTTATATGAAGGTAAAAAAGGCGCGAATTTAAGCAATTCACTATAGCCTGTCGGAGAAAAAAAAGGAAGATTTTTTTATGATTACAGTAATAATTACTAAATTGAACGAACTTACCTGTGAAGTTCGATGTTAATTATGTTAGCGACTCATCCGAATGATAATAATACGTAGATGTTTAGAGTTTTTAATCAAAAAATTTTTGATAATGGTATAAAATTAAAACTTTATTTCTAAAGAATGTCAACTTAACAAAATTCTTACATCAGAAACAATAAAAAAAACAAATTCAACTATTTTCTTAAGAAATAATAGCTTTAACAAATTCAAAATCCTCCTCTGAGGTTATTGGTTTATTGTAATATTTTTTAAAAACAGAAGACGTCTTCGACCAAGAAGCAGTTCGCTTAATTGTCTCAATATTGACTCCCTTAAGGGAGGCTTTTGACGTGGCAGCATGCCTAATGCTATGTGCCGTAAACACACTTGTATCAATTTTACAGTCTTTTAAAAGGTCTTTAGCCCATCTGGCCAATGTCTGAGAAGACACTCTGTTATGAGGCGGTCGAAACGAAATAAACAAGGTTTTGATATTTCCCCTCACGTTCTTTGTTCGAAGAAGGTACTGATCTAACGTGTTTACCACACATAGCTTTGAATTTTCTGTCAATTTTGGAAATTTTAAAATCGGCTGATATCTATTGATAGCTGTAGTTTTAATTTTATGTGGTATTTTAATATGAATGCCAGAGTCTAACCTAAGTATGTTTTCCAATTTTATCAAAGCAAGCGTTTGCATTCTATGCGCACTAAATATAGCCATCATAACCACAAGTTTCTTTCCTAGCTCTTCGATAGACAAATTTGTGTTTTCTCCTTTTAGTTCGTAAAAATGAAACACCAAATTAACATCCCAAGTACATTCATACTTTGGAGTAGGAGGTTTTATATTAAAAAACCCTTTGACGAACCTTCTTATGAGCGGGTCTTCTCCAACTTCTTTACCCAAAAGAAGACTGATTGCAGATCGGCTAGTGTTTAGTACAGCATAAGATGCTCCTTCTTGCGTAAGTTGAAATAAAAAGGATAATATATTGTTTCTGTCAAAGGTAAATAAATATGTCCGTGTTTGAATCATTACAAAATTTTACCCATTTACGCAAAGGTTTATTATATTGCGCCCAAGTAGATGTTGTGATTGAATTTAGCATAACCTCTAGAATCTCCGGTTTGACATTTTTTCTTATTAATGCTTTGCTGATACAAACCCGGCCAAAATTGTTATATTTCTCCACCTCGGGTGTGGTTGTCTGTAAAAAGTAAGAAGATTTTTGTGAGGTGAAAATCTTAAAGGATCTCTAACAAGTAGAGATTCAAAAATAGGATACCACGGTTGACCTAACCATTGGGGTACCACCAAAATACCCTCCGCCTTCTCCTTTTTGATTTTTTGAAGAGTCCTCAAAATTAACGAGAAAGGCGGAAAAGCATAAAAAAGGAATTGGCTCCAATTCACTGTAAATGCATCTGTTGTAAAAGCGTCAGGATCAGGAAGCCAAGAAATGAACTTCTTACACTTTGCATTTAATCTACTAGCAAACAAATCGATTTCCGGCATCCCAAAACATTTAACTATTTCTTTGCAAACTACAGTGCTTAATTCAAATTCTGTGTCCACATTTTTTCTTCTCGATTCAAAATCTGCTTCAAAGTTCTCTTTAGACGAAATATAAGAAGCAAATATCCAAATGTTTCGCTCTGCGCACCAATCCCACAACGTTTTAGATAAATCATTTAAATGTGGGAATCTGACACCTCCCATTCTGTTTACATAAGAAATAGCTGTTGTGTTGTCAACTCTTTAGAAGAATTTCACAGTTTCTCAGGTCTTTGGCAAAACATTTTATACCACAAAAAATTGCTAAGAGCTCTAAATAATTAATATGGTGTTTCGATTCTTCGATTGACCAAAAACCGTGAGATTTCACCTTATTACACACCGCCCCCCAGCCAAACTGGGAAGAGTCTGTGAAAATTTCTCTAACAAAATCATATTGTCTTATAGGACAAATAGCGTCTATTACATGTGATCGCCACCACTTCAAATCTAATTTAATTTTAGTGGAAAGTGTCAATTTTCCACTATAATTATTTTTGCATTCCAGTAAAGCTAAATATTTTTGTCGTTCTAAAGATTTCGTATGCGCCCAACCATAAGGTACTGCAGGACAACATGAAATTAAGAAACCTAAAGTACGAGAAAGCTCCAAAATAGAGCAATCAGATCTAGACAAAAGATTATCAATTTCTTTCGCTACTCTCAATTGCTTTTCTTTAGGTAAGCCTAAAGAAAGAGTACGAGAGTTAAGAATAAATCCCAGGTAACTGCAAAATTGAGAGGGATAAATTTCACTTTTATTATAATTTATCAAAAAACCCAACTTTTTTAAAACTGAAATAGTAGTTCTAACATTTACCAAACAATCCTTAAAGTTATCTCCAAAAAGTAAAATGTCATCTAGATAAATAACTGACACAAAACCTTGATTTCTAAGCCAGCTAATTACAGGTTTCATTAATTTCGTAAAAATGTAGGGCGCGGAGCAAAGTCCGAAAGGTAAGCATTGAAATTCATAAATCTTTCCTTTAAACAAAAATCTCAAATATTTTCGAGAATCTTTATGAATAGGCACAAGATAATATGCCTCCTTTAGATCAATACTGGCCATCCAGCAATCTCGTGTTAAAAGCATAGACGCTGTTTTAACATCCTCCATCTTAAAATGCGGAGGTGAAATAAAAGTATTTAATTTCTTTAAATTCAAGATAAAACGAGAAGTTCCATCTTTTTTTGAAGTTAGGAAAACATTAGAGATAAACTGATCCTTATGGTAAGAGCCTTCTGTGATAACCCCTTTCTCTAAAAGCTCACTAATGTGAGCGGTGATCTTTTCCAAATCTGAAAAAGACCACTTGGGTTGCTTAGGTACCAAATCTTGATAAAAGTTTTTATCAAAAATAATTTTGTAACCTGACAACCAAGAAAGAATGATTGGATCAACCGTGATAGTTAACCAAGCTTCTTTAAAAAACCTTAAACGGCCAGCTATACTAACCTTCAAAATCTCTTTCTTTGAGCCGATATTGATGATTGTGCATGTCGCGTTCGGGTTCCCGTAAAGTAAAGAATTTTTTCTGAGCCTGATGTCCGCCTTGCCGAGAACCCCTCTTCGCGCGAGACGGACCCTTCCAGTTTAAATCCTGTTTAGGTTTTTTTTTGTCCACTGTAATTGCTCCACTGATTTTTTCCATCGATTGAGCAGTCTTTATCGTTTCGATAAAATTTTCGCCAAATAGATAGTTGTCTATAGGACAATTATCCAAAAACTTCACTAAATTTGGTTTAAGATGAGGCTTGATTAGACCTCTCCGAACGCCGCTATCTGCATGGTGGATGTCGGCTAAAAGTTTCCCTGTATCCGAAATGGCTTCTATTAGGGCAGAATTAGCATTGCTGTCCCGAAGAAGTAAACTCAAAGCTTTACCTAGAGCCGATAAACCCGCCTTCATTTGATTCTGTTTTTGTATTAAACGAGAATCACGGTCAATAACGTTTTTGTTCAAACAATTCTTAGCCTCTTGATTTAATATTGGAGGCTCAAAAGCACAGTTCGCAGGTGACGGATATTTTGACGTTAATTCTTTGCGATTGTCTGGCGTTAACCCAGATTGAACAATTTTCGACAATAAATTGGCTACCTCGGCCTGAATTGGTTGTCCTTTAGAAGTGACTTCGCACACGTTAGACGAAAGAATTTTTAAAATGTTATTTGGCAACAATTCAGTCTCATCTGATTTATGAACGACGACGTCGGACAAAATCACTGCTTTCGGCTGCAAGGTCTCGCTGACGTCCACGTCAGCAATATCCGACCCGCTACATAGGGTGCGTTCGAGTAAAATACTAATTCGCTAAATAGCGCTTATGCTCGTGGTAAACGATTTCAACGTTCAAGGAGACTAAAAGCTACAAAGACGGCTGTTAAACTCGAACGCGAAAAAAAGCGTTAACGTAACCTACATAACATAACCTAAAAAAACAATTGTTTTGTTTTTAAAGAATAGGCGACAGTAATTTAATTATGGCTACTTCTCGGGCTGACGGTTACCTGTTTACCGCAGTAAATTTGATTGTTACTGAATTTTTGGAAACGTTTTCGTCAACAGAAAGTGAAGATGAGGATCTGGAGGTGTTAAATCAATTAGTTTCTCATAAAAAGGTGGTTGTACCACGATTAAAAAATTATGTAGAAAGCGTTGTACCTAATTTTAATGATCAACAATTTAAATCGCATTTCCGGTAAGATAGTAATGAATTGATCTGTTTATCTGCCAATTTTTTTAATACTAGAATGCGTCGTGACACATTTGAATTCATATTGTCACATATGGCTCCAAGGTTAAAGAGGACCTACAAAGGGTTACCCATGATTGCACCTGAGAAACAATTTCTCATTGCAATTTGGCGAATGGCTACTCCAGATTCATACAGGTTGTTTTTAATATAATTAACTTCTTTTATATCTTTTTTATTGTTTATGTAGATCTATTTGTGAAAAGTTTGATGTCAGCCGTTCGACGGCTTTGTATTCAACAAAAAGGGTCACCAAAATACTCTGTAATCTTTCACCAATTTTTATTAAATGGCCAAATGCTAATGATGTGCAAGCTATATGGACAGGCTTCGAAGCAAGCAGTGGGTTTCCGAAAACAATAGGAGCAATTGATGGAACTCATATAAACATTCCGGCTCCAAATAGAAATCCTGAAGCTTATGTAAACCGCAAAGGACATCATTCCATCCAACTACAAGTATATAAATATTTTTCTATTTCGGTGTCACAATGATGATTTTGTACAACTGTTTTCGGCCGAAAACAGTTGTACAAAGACAGTGATTATAGTCGTTTTTTTTTTGGTAACTAATCTCTTAAGTTGGCAGTTACTAGTTAGTACAAGTAGGTACTTCGTTGGGTACTTCCATGTTTGAACTTCAAAATGTCAGTCTTACTACGCTGCCAACCTAAAACTTAACGGCTTAAAAAGTGTTCCCAACATAAAACATGTTAGTTCTAATGTTCCCTATAGTTTCTGATAATGATTTTTTAAATTAAATTAAAGCACCGAAATAGAAAAAATAGTATGAAAAACGCGTGTTACAACGCTTTATTGTAATACTCCTATCTTGCGGACACTCGTGGCTACGCTTCGCGTCGCCACTCGTGCCACAAGATAGTCGTATTACAATAGGTCGCATTGTCTTTCAATATACTATTCTGTTACTTTTTATTTATTTTTAATATTTTAGGCAGTATGCGATCATAAAAGTCGTTTTACACACTGCTTTGTAGGCCATGTAGGATCTGTACATGATCAGCGTGTGTTTAGACTATCAGAATTAAATGATTTCTTAAGCTGCGTCCAGATTACGCGCGCCGAACTGCGCAAAACGTTTGCGAGCGTTGCAGAAATGTTTTGCGCACACTGTCTTGTCTCTGGTTTGTGTGTGTGCTTGGCTATGTTTGCTAGGGTTCCCAATTGAACGGGTGAATATTTTTGAGTGACCATGGATGATGATGTGCAAATCTCTGCAGCAGCTTTTATTATTCTTTGCGACGCTATAAAGAAAAAGCAACGCAAGAGAAGACGCTATTGGATGACGAATTTATTTAAAAGTCGCAATATTTATAGTGGCAGCAACCTGTTGAACGATTTATCATTGTCACGCACTGGACAGTTCAAAAATTTTTGCCGTATATCTTGTGAAGATTTTGAATATCTGATACATCTAATTGGGCATAAAATAGCGAAGCAAGAAACTACATTCAGACAACCCATTCCTGTTAAAGAGAGACTGGCAGTTACTCTACGATTCCTGGCAACTGGGGATTCATACACAAGTTTGATGTACCTGTTCAAAATTTCTAAACAGAGCATATCTACCATAGTGACTGAAGTGTGCCAAGCTTTGTGTGACGCATTGAAAGACTACGTAAAGGTAAGAAATATTGCATTTATTCGTAGTGTTATCCATAAAAGGTGTGTGTGTGTGTGCATCACAACAAAATTTGTAAACGAGAATATTTGTAATCACTGCTTAAGGCGCGAATGTATTGTAATAATGTTGTACAGCACCCCATGAATCCTGAGATTGTGAGTTTGGACTTGGTTGAGGGGTGTCTTGGGAAAATGGATCCTGATACTGTTCATTGAATAAAAGGTGATCGGCGGCCCCAATATTTCCGGAACTATGTGAAGAGGAAGGTGTAGATGCCGAGGATCTTGTATTGGATCCACTACCATTATCGTATCTTCCAATTACAGCGTCAAATATAACGTTATTAATCTTGTGTATTGTAACAGCTCGGGTGCGTTCATCCATTTTTTGTAGCTGTGTTGTTATGTATTGACCAAAAGTATGACACTCGTCTTTTGGAGTGGTTGAGACCTTCTTAAGCAGATCGTATGCAGCAGACACTTTAGGATCTTCTTGTACACATTTTCGTTTCGGAAGTATTTTCTTGGGAGATACAAAAATTTTACGTTTTGCTGTTGGGATTTGAGGACTTGTCCCAACGGAAACTACACTACCCGATTCGATTTCATCATTTGCTACAACTGATTGAGGTTCTCTGTCTACACATTGCGATTCTGAATTGTTGAAAGTTTCATCAGTAGTGCTTTCTTCGTCCTAGAAAAATATTTTATTAAATGGCGTGTGTAGAATAGTATAGGTAGTGCAATTTTTATGGATTTCACTGCTTGTGTACTCATAGACCATAGTACTGAATTTACAGTGTATTTCACATTTTCAGATGCCATCTACTATAGAAGAGTGGACACAAACTTCCAAAATTTTCGAAGACGTGTGGCATTTCCCTCATTGCCTAGCGGCGTTAGATGGGAAACATATTATGTTACAAGCACCCATACAGAGTGGAAGCGAATATTACAACTATAAATCATTTCACAGTATAGTACTACTTGCTTTGGTAGATGGTCAATACAATTTTCTTTTTTGTGACGTTGGTGGTCAGGGTCGCATTTCGGATGGGGGAATTTTTAAAAATAGTTTATTATGGAGAAAAATCGAAAAGAGAGAACTTCCCATTCCGGAACCACGGATTCTTCCTGGCCGACAGAAACGGATTCCTTATGTGTTTGTTGCTGACGATGCTTTTGCCTTGCATGACAACATTATGAAGCCTTATTCAGGTTTACATGACAAAGGTACACCAGAAAGAATTTTCAATTATCGCTTGTCACGAGCACGAAGAATTGTCGAAAACGCGTTTGGCATATTGTCCGCTGTTTTTAGGGTTTTGAGAAAACCACTATTACTGGAGCCTGAGAAGGCACGGCTTGTTGTTTTAACCACTCTTTACTTGCATAATTTTTTAAGAAGCGGAAACTCAAATCAAATATATACTCCGCCTGGAACATTTGATAGCGAAGAGGATGGTTTATTAATAGAAGGAACATGGCGACGTGACGGTAATCCTGAAAATTCATTCTTGCCTATCAGAAGACTACCGCGAAAATCTCCTCTAAATGCACAACAAATTCGGAACGAACTAGCGGAGTATTTTTCGTCGAATGGTGCTGTATCATTTCAAGATAAATATGCTTAGGTAAATGCTACTATGTAAGTAGGCTGGAAATAAATATAATCTGAACTTACCGTTTCTGTATTTATTGAGCCCTTTACACTGTCCTTATCCCACAAAAATTTAAAGGCTTCGAAAGCAAACCATTTGCTTATATATATTTCGTTTCTACCTGCATATGTATACACAATTAGCTAAAATGGACATCAAAAGAAAATCAAAATACTACCTTTCCCCGTGCCTGTAGAATTCTTCATTTTGGCCTTTTCTCTTCTCATCGATGACAGCAACGATGCTACTTTCGCCTTTATTACTTCAACGTCGCTTTCCATTTCTGTTGCTATGTTCTTCCAAGCATCATGTTTTTTATTTCGTAAATGGTAATTACTGTTTTTCACGTCCCACAATTCTGATTTTGTTTCATACATGTTAATTAATTGCAGTGTTTTCTCCCGACTCCATTCAATTTCACTCATTGTGTTGCAGGAATGCGCACAACTACGTCCAAACTTCACTTAACTTTAAACGCGCGCTTAGCCGAATTTCTTTGATGTACCGACACTTGCCCGAACAAATTCGTGCATGCACGCAGTGGCGCGTTCGTGCGCATATACCCGTCCACATTACATGTTGCTGCAACGCTCGCAAACGTTTTGCGCAGTTCGGCGCGCGTAATCTGGACGCAGCTTTAGGTAACCCTATTAAATTTCCTAATGACAGTCATTTGATAGGAGATTTAGCATATAAGTTACATGATAACCTTTTAACTCCATACCGTGACAATGGATATTTGACTGAACGTCAGAAGAACTTCAACTTTTGTCACTCATCTGCACGAATGAGTATTGAAAGAGCCTTTGGTCTCTTAAAAAACAGGTTCCGAAGTTTGTTGACAGTGCTACCTATGAACAATACTCATAATGTGCCCACATTTGTATTAGCTTGTTGTGTACTGCATATTTGCTTGTTAAAAAATGATGAGTTAGAATACACTTTCATGGAAGAAATACAAGATGCGCCCCTTTGTATAGCTCCCCCCAATCGAATTCAAGCAGGACTAGCAAAAAGAGATTTGATTTCTGAACGTCTACCTATGAGATTAGTATAATTTGAATTATTTACAATTTTGTTTACTTTTCTAATGTATTTAATCAGATATTAATAAAGAACGAATACAGAAATGTCTACATTTTATCTATTAATTTGTCCAATTTTTCCAACAAATTTTGTCGTTGGGTCATATTTTCTTCGTATCGTCGCTGACGATTCAACTCTGCAATTTCTCGCGATTTTGTAATTGCTTTGCTGATTAGAGATACATCTTGTTCCATTTTGCGTTTTCCTAATGTTAATAAATTTACATGTGTATCTTATAATATTATATCACTTACGTGAAGGAGTGGCGGACAATGGCTCAGAACATGCAGAAGAAGGTCTGCTTCCTTCGCTTTCTGTACCTGATGAACAAACTGTGGAAAGTGGAGCCATAAATGGCCTATTTCCTAATAGATCATCCATTACCTATAAATTAGAATTAATTGTTAGTCTAATAAATTTAATGTTAAACCTGTAGGTAAGGCCAAGTCCTAGGACTGTTTCCCGACTTGTTGTTGTGATCTTTAATTGACTTAAACGTTCTTTTCAGTCCATTAAACTTGGTCCTACACTGTGGCCCAGTAACATCATGTCCTTTATTATTTAATATTTCTGAAATTCTATCCCATGCTTTTTTTGACTTATTTTACCAGACGTAATTAAATTTTCTTTTTCTCTATATAATTCTAATAAAAGAAGGACTGCCTCATGGGACCACTTATATGCTGCAAATAAATAAATAAGTATACCTACTTTGACCTATAAGTGTTTATGCTTACTGTTGACAGGAATGTCCTCCGATACCTGCTTTACTGGTTCCTCTTCATCTATAATAAATACACTAATAGTTATTCATGTAAATAAAGAAAATGTAACAATTACTCGAGCATCCAGCATCATTGGAACTTGTCCCTTGAATTTCTCGCTGCAAAATTTGGTGGGCAAAAGTTATATCTAAAACAGAAAAACAATTTTAGATTCTAGTTAACAGGTCTTAATTTGTACATACCTGCATTAATTCTGTCCGCATCGCTTTGGGAAACTTTTATAGGGTATATAATACCTGTTTCGGCATCTAAAAGATTAATGTCAACCGATTTTTGACTGCACATTTTTTAACACTTCCGCAAGAAAAAAACTTTTAAAATTGCAAAAAAAAAACAGAAATTTGAGGTTATGAAAGCAAACACGTTCCGTTCGAACAAAGCTTAAAGCATGCAATTGGCGCTAAAAGCGTCCGGTGCTTCTGCTCTTCGGAAAAAGCGTGTGTAGCACGAGTTATGACGTATAATAGCGCGACAAATGACGTCATCAATCGTTTCATGGCGCTACTATACACCTACTCGAACGGTGATTAGCGGTTCTAAGCGCCTAAACCTTTCTCCTCGAACGCACCCATAATAAAATATCCTCGTCCGATAAATTTGTGCGATTAGGAAGCAGTTCTTCTCGCTCCGCGAACTCGCTGTTTATATTTTCATCTCTGTTATGAGACGAACTAAAAATAGACCTGTCGCGGTCATGATGCTTATCAACCCTGTCTTTGTCTCTGTTGCGAGACTGAGACCGATTAGCGAAATTGTCTAACAGTGGGTAGCGGGGCGAACGTGATCTGGAACTAGCCTGCGAACGCTTGGGGCTCCGACCTTCGTCTCTGTTACGAGACCGTGGCCGTTTAGTGTATTTGACCTTCGGTGGAGAGCAGGCCCGGAGTGAACGAGAATGCGAACGACGCCTACGCTTAGGGCTTCGACTGTTGCGTCGAGCTTTTAATTTCCGTTTTAAACGGCGAATTTCATGCCGTAGATTTTCCGTATCGGACGCCGAACTAAAAGAGTCTTCCCGCTGTCGTATCTTTTTTGAACTCATTCTGTAAAAGAATGCTGCAAAAAACTGAAAAAATTCCGGTTAAGATACCTACATTAATTGTAGAGAACGTGTTCACTCGTGCGCACGAAAAATAATACTGAAGAGCTGCGACGTGCGGATGCAGGAGGGAGAAGCGCGGTAGAAAGTTTTTTTGCTTTTAACGCGCTAAAATTCGTGTTCACCTAGCACGGGAAGTAGTATACTACGTATTATTATCATTCGGATGAGTCGCGTAACATAATGGTAATTGTAATCAATGAATATTGAATAGTGCCAAAGTAAAAGGTACTAGGACTAGCGCACATTTTTGTTTATGTCCTATAAAATTTGTTTAGGTAGTCACTAGTCAAATCCCTAAAACGAACTTTTTTTGCCTAGTGTTTGATTTTGCGTTTCCGGTGCTGTAAGTGCTACACTTGCAGTTTTGAGATCGCATGGCACTATTATTTTTTTTTATTCTCAGTCCAACAAACGTTTAACGGTGTCGAATTGTGCAGTGTAGTTTATTGTGTATTTAGTTATTGACCAATAGCAATACCATTTCTTTGCAATTTTGCGTATTATTTATTCGATTTTTGTGCCATTGAAAGGTAAGTGTCAGTACTTCAGTAGTATACTATAATTCTCATGCCCAATGATTGTATGATTAGTGAATATAAACGTGGATTTTTAATTTAAAATAGTTTCAGGAAGAAGAGCGTACATTACGACGGAAGTAACATCTAAACGAAGCGAAATATGGTTGCATTTTTCAATTGTTTCTGCAGGAAGCGCGAAATGCAATATTTGTGGATCCAAGTATTCATACAAGGGAGGCTCAACGTCAAACTTGAAGAAACATCTCCAATCGAGGCATCAAACGATTTTGACAAAACGTCCTCCTATTAATAAAAGTCAAGAAGGAGAGTCTACCGTTGCTTCTACCTCTACTACGGATCCAAGACCACCAACGGCACCAACACCTGAAAATATTGAGACCACTATAGTAGATCAAGGTTCAAATTCGGCTACGTCTGCTTCGACAATTATATCAGCTGCAAAGAAAAGAAGAGTCCAGGCCCAATCTTCGATCTTAAGCCACATCATGATACAGCCCATTTCTTTATCGAGACAGCAGAAGATTAATGATTTAATTTTAAATATGATCGTGACCTGCAGCCTTTATCCATCGTTGAAGACACAGGTTTTCGAAACTTAATTCACGGTTTGGAGCCCTCTTACGTTATACCTAGCAGATACACTTTTACCAATTCTTTTTTGCCGCAACTATATCAAAAAAAGCAAGAAAAATTAAAAGATTTAATTTCGAAAAGTGAATCTGTTGCTTTAACTACAGACGCGTGGACTTCCGAGCATAGCCAGAGAAGTTACATTTGTTACACTGCCCATTTTATTTCAGAAGATTGGAGTTTGAAATCGTATTTGTTAGAATGTGCGCCGTATGATGAAAGTCATAACGCCCAAAATTTAAAAGACGACATACTGAGGGTGGTTAATGAGTGGGATATCGAAGACAAAGTTTGTACTATTACAACCGATAACGCCGCTAATATAAAAGCAGCAATAAAACTAACGGAATGGGGGCATATTGGTTGTTTTGCGCATACCATAAATTTAATAGTGCAAAGTGGATTGAACATTGAAGACGTTAAACCATTACGAAAAAAGGTTAAAGCAGTTGTAGAGTTTTTTCATAGAAGTACCAAGGCTAATAATAAACTTTTGGAAATGCAAAAGCATATTAATGAAGGTTGTAATCCGTTAAAACTAAAAAACGATGTTGCTACTAGATGGAATTCAACATGTTTGATGTTTGAAAGGTTCGTAAAAATTCGTGAACCCCTCACAGCTACGTTAGGAGTATTAAATGGCCCAGTTGAATCCTTACTTGAATCCGAGTGGCAATTACTTAAAGAGCTTTGTGTTATCTTGAAGCCTTTTGAACTAATAACAACCGAAATGAGCGCAGAAAAGAATGTCACCCTTTCAAAGGTTATTATCGTTGTAAAAGGACTTAAATCGGCCATATCAAAAATCAAACAAACCACTGAACATCCAGATGGCATGGCGCTTATAAATCATTATGAAAAAAAAATTGTAAACAGATTTTCGTCCATGGAAAGCAATAATTTGATGACAAAATGTGCTATGCTTGATCCTAGATTTAAGTCAAAAATTTTTAGTTCTAACCATTCCCTTGACATGGCAAAAGATCGCTTAGAAACAGAAGTTACAAAAATGATAACCACTCAACGCAACCAAGACCTTTCCCAAGCAAACGACCCTGGAAATTCCAAAAACGTATCGGGTGAAGAAGAACAAGAAAACATTATTTGGGCTGATTTTGATAAAATATCAAAAGTACGAAAAAATATAGATCCCAAAGCCGAGGCGCTGTTAGAAATAAGGTCATATTTAGCAGAGGATCTTATTAACAGAAAAGAAAATCCTCTAGAGTGGTGGAAGGCTAGAGAGATAATCTATCCAAATATATCTAAATTGGCAAAACGATATTCATGCATAATGGCCACATCTGTGTCGTCGGAAAGAATCTTTTCCGAAGCTGGTCAACTTATCTCGGAGAGACGGAATAGATTAAAAGGTGACATTGTAAAAAAAATTCTCTTTTTACACCATAATCAGGATTTATAATTTTATTGATTTTTGCGTATGTTTTGTTTATTTACTTTATAATTTTTTTTATTAAAAAAATTTAGTTTATCCTACCGAAAGCAATATTTTTCTTATACCTACGTAATACGTGGGTATTTATTTTAACCTACAAATGTCATAATAGTTATTTATGTATCAAGGGCATTAAGGCGATATTTATGCCGAGGGCGACAGAGCCCGAGGGCCTCTGGCCCGAGGGATTGTAAGTCGCCCGAGGGTTAAATATCGAGTAATGCCTGAGGTGCATACAACATTTTATTTTTCATCGTTCCAAATAAGTAATGCATTTCCAATATACAAATGTAATGATTATTGTTAGTGCTTCATACGAATCAAGTAGCATCTTTTTTTATGACATAACTCCATCAATATATTTGACAGCCAGTTTGAGGGCATAATGAGAGGGCATAATGGATTGTCATCTCATTATGCCCTCGGGCGTCATACACTGCTTTATACAGGGAGTCTATA